ATGAACAATGCAAAATGCTGAAAAGCTCTCGTGTATTATTCAGTGAAAAACAAGGAACAGAAGGCTGCAATATATAGCAGCACTTACAACTGAAAAAGTAAATGCTGGAACACGAAAAGACTAAAAGTAAAAGCAGGAAATATGAAAGACTTCAACAGTTATGAAGACACACACGAGAGCACTTATTTCACTTTAATTTCACTGACTTTGAATCAGTCTTTAACACCCCCCTTTGATTCAAAGCTTCCAATGCCAATACAAGCTCGGAGACGCTGAAAACGTGCAGGCGGAAGAGCCTTAGTGAACATGTCGGCCAATTGTTCTTCAGTAGGACAAAACTCCACCCATATTACACCTGCTGCCACTAAGTCTCGAATGTAGTGGTGCCTAATTTCAATATGCTTGGTACGCCCATGCATAACTGGGTTTCTTGTCATGGCAACTGTTGATTGATTGTCGCAGTAAATCACAGTTGGTTCCCTTTGTTCCTGCATAAGATCACCCATAAGTTTTCGTAACCACACAGCTTGACACGCGGTAATTGTGACCGCCACATATTCCGCCTCAGTTGATGATAAAGCTACCGTTGCTTGCTTCTTTGACTGCCATGAAATTATTCCAGACCCAGTACTGAAACAATTCCCTGTTGTACTCTTCCTGTCTTCTTGTGATCCTGCCCAATCACTGTCACTGTATCCTTTTAGCACAAACCTTTTCGAGTTCAAATACCAGATACCATAGTGCTTGGTACCTGCTAAGTAACGAATAATTCTTTTGACAGCTCCATAGTGTTGTTTTGTGGGTTTGTGCATGAATCTTGAGACTACTCCCACTGCAAAACTTATGTATGGTCTTGTGTGAGTGAGGTAGATTAACCTCCCAACTATGCTCCTGTAATTTTGAGGATCTGTCATTCCTGTGCCATCTTCACATGTTAGCCTTTCATTGGTGTTCATAGGAGTTATGACTGGTTCAATATTCTCCATGTCGAGACCCTTTAGCATGTCTGATACATATTTTTCTTGAGCAATAAAAATACCAGTGTTTGTTTGCTTTATTTCGATCCCAAGAAAATAATGTAGCTTTCCAAGGTCTGTCATTTCAAACGTCTTCATCATCTCCATTTTAAATTGATAAATGAGCTCTTTAGACGACCCTGTGTAGATCATGTCATCAACATAGAGACTGACTAACATGATCCCTGCATCACCTTGCTTCCTGAAATACATGGTGGGTTCACTAGGACTTTTCTGAAAACCGTTGGAGAGAAAGAAGTTGTCAATCTTGCTATACCATGCACGCGGAGCTTGTTTAAGCCCATATAATGCCTTCTTCAACCTATATATCTTCCCTTCTTGCCCAGGAACAATAAATCCTTCGGGTTGTTGAACAAAAACTTCTTCTTTTAGGTCCCCGTTTAAGAATTCCGACTTAACATCGAACTGGTAAACTTCCCATTGTTGTTGTGCAGCTAATGCAAGAATTAACCTTATTGTCTCAATTCTTGCCACCGGTGAGAATGTTTCATTGAAATCTACACCCTGTTCTTGTCGAAAACCACGAGCAACTAATCTTGCTTTATGTTTTTGGAGACTACCATCCGCATTGAACTTTTTTTTAAAAACCCATTTCAAAGGAATTGGATGCTTACCAGCTTGAGGTTCCACCAGATCCCATGTCTTGTTCTTTTCGATCGCCATAATTTCTTCCTCCATTGCTTTCTTCCAGTTAACATCTTGAAGTGCCACATCTGCTGAGACTGGATCACCAGCGAACAAGGCTAGAGTGCTATCATAAATGTCATTTAAGTTCCTATATCTGAGTGGTGGAGTATCTGGAGACGACACATCAGAAGAGCCAGGTGTGGTCTTCGAGGGCGTAGCAGAAGATGATTCAAAGTGAGTAGAGCTCGGTGTCGGACTTGATGGAGGAGACATGGGTGTATTGATCAGATGATCATGCACTTCATCTTCTACATTTTCAAATGAATTTGGCTGTGGCATTAAGTTTGTGTGAACCGATGTATCCACATAACTTGAATACTCTTCAAAAATCACATCACAGCTGATAACAATATTCTTATTTATAGGATCGAATAACCTGTAGGCCTTTGACATTGTACAATAGCCCACAAAGATGTATTTCTTGGACTTCTCTTTCTAGCTTGTGCCTATTTGTGGTGACCAATGCATAGCATAAACAGCCAAAAACACGCAAATGATCAACAGTGGGCTTGAACTCATACCAGGCTTCGAAAGGTGTTTTATTCCATACTGCTTTGGTGGGTGATAGATTGAGGAGATACACAGCTGTGGCTACCGCTTCTGCCCAAAATGAGTCAGACAACTTACTTGTTTTTAGCATTGATCGAGCCATCTCCACAATAGTCCTCTTCTTCCTCTCTGTGATTCCGTTTTGCTCAGGTGTATAAGGAGCTGTCAATTCTCTTCTTATTCCTTCTTCTTCACATAATGCAGTAAATTCCTTTGACATGAATTCACCGCCTCTATCCTTTCTTAGAATCTTGATTACATTGCTTCCTTGTTTTTCGACAAGGGCTTTGAATTTTTTGAAGTGCTCAAAAGCTTCAGATTTCGCTTTGATGAAGTAGACCCAACACATACGAGTGAAATCATCAATAAAAAGCAAGAAGTACTTACTCCCCAAGTGTGATTCTGTCCTCATTGGACCACATATATCTGCACATACTATCTCCAGTTTTTCTGTTGCTCGTCTTGCTTGCCCCTTCGGAAAGGATCTTCGTGTTTGCTTACCCAAGACACACCCTTCACACACATGGGTAGAATCTTTTATGGTTGGCAGCCCGTTCACCATTTGTTTGCTTGTTAATAGTTGTAGACCTTTTACATACAAATGACCATATCGATAGTGCCATAATCTTGACTCATCATCCTCGCTACTCATCATCATATATCCTTCTTTTCGTGAAAAATCTACTGGAAACATCCTATTTCCAGTCATTTTTGAGTATAATAGAACTTCACCATTTTGTTTCTTTACCACACAAGCATCATTTTCAAATTCTACCTTCAATTCATTTTCAATTAACTGGCCTACACTTATCAGATTGTGGGCCAGACCTGGTGCAAAATGAACATCATTGATGAGTTTATCCTTTCCGTCGATGCAAACCGTCACAGCTCCTATTCCTTCTATCGCAACTGGTTGGCCATTGCCGAGACGAACACGTGATTTTCCTGTCGTGTTCAGGCTTTTGAACTTGTCACGTACACCGGTTATATGATTAGAACATGCACTGTCTATATACCATATCTCATTTGTAACATCAACCAGATGAATGTGGGTCATGAACAAGTAATCTTCCTTCTCTTCAAATTCCTCTTCAGTGTACTTTGCTTGGTTTTGCTTTGTCCAACAATCTTCTTCTTTATGACCAAACTTCTTACAATGATCACATTGAACTAGTGACCCTTGTGATCTCCCTCGACCACGACCACGAGATGATGCTCTGCCTCTTCCTCGACCAAAGGAATATCTACCTTGTTCTCCTTGGATCTGAAATGCACGTTCTTCATCTTGAGTCTGAGATCTGTTGATTCTTGCTTCATGTGATTGTAGTGAGCCCATCAGTTCATCAAAGGAAAATGTTGCAAGATCCTTTGACTCTTCAATAGCCGCCACAACATGGTCGAATTTAGAAGGTAGACTCCTCAGTACTTTTTCAACAACAACTTCATCAGAGATTTTATCTCCATAAGCACGCATCTGAATCACAATCGAAGATGCTTTTGCAAGATACTCTTGAACGGTTTCACTTGGTTTCATGTTTAAGGTCTCGAACTGCCTTCTTAGGGACTGGAGTTTAACTGTGATCACCTTTGCTGATCCTTGATATTCAGTTTTGAGAATATTCCAGGCATCCCGTGATGTGTCTGCTGCAGCAATTCTGGGAAAGATTGTTTCATCAACAGCTTGTTGGATGAAAAACAAGGCTTTTGCATCTTTCTTTTGATTTTCTTTCTGACGTGTCTCATCTGTGCTTGCTTCTGCATACCCATTTTCAACAAGATCCCACAAATCTTGTGACTTGAACAAAGTCTTCATTTCGGTACTCCAGAACTCGTAGGAGTCTCCCTTAAAGATTGGAATTTGAGGGTGAGACATGCTAATAGTGTTGAGGTTCTGTGCCATCAAAACAAACCAGAGAGACTTAGGAATGCAACCTAAGCTCTGATACCACAATGTTGGTTCAAAACAAATGAACAATGCAAAATGCTGAAAAGCTCTCGTGTATTATTCAGTGAAAAACAAGGAACAGAAGGCTGCAATATATAGCAGCACTTACAACTGAAAAAGTAAATGCTGGAACACGAAAAGACTAAAAGTAAAAGCAGGAAATATGAAAGACTTCAACAGTTATGAAGACACACACAAGAGCACTTATTTCACTTTATTTCACTGACTTTGAATCAGTCTTTAACATAATTTACACCCTTTGATTAACACCTTCTGGTTGCTCTTGATCCTCCTATGTTCTTCGATCAAACTGGGTTAACAAGCCTGCTGATTTTGGCCGGAATCACGACTCATCTCCGCTACCCTTTTAATCCCTAGAACAGAAAAAAACAACTTATTGATCTGAAATCAGCCCTACTTCAATCGATATCCTCTCTGGTACCTATTGTTAGAGATAAAGCCTCACAATTTTTTATTATGTAAATTCACGTAATGAATTTACTGTAAAATAAATAAGTATCACTCTCACATTTGGGTGATAAAAGAATACAGAGGGTAAAAGAAGTGAGATGCGCAAAAGGCTATTTTTTTTATTAAACAACTAACCAAAAGACTAGCCAAAATAATAGGTCCTACTGGACTATATCATATTTGACAAATTCTACCTAAAGATCATGTGGTACTATACTAAAGCAAATACCAACTATTTAAATAAATTACTAAATGAACTTAACAACAAATGCTTTTTCTCTTCAAGTTCCTGCCATGCAAAATGGATTAAACCGTAGACCTCAAACTTATTCAATTTAAATCCAAAAACTAAACCTAATTAATTCCAACATAACCTTGCAATGGATGCTTGCTTGAGAAAGACAACGTCTAAACATAGTTGGGGTTGATATGATGGGTTATGATGGATTGATACCTAAGTCCATATTTTTTGGAACAGCAAATCTACACTACTCCTAAACTATTCCAAATTCCATCAATTAGGGCTCTAAATTCAGTGTTTTTGGTTGTTATCAAGATCTTTTGGTTTTTATTTAATTTAGTTCTCTATACCCTCAATCTCATATGATGTCTTTGTTGGTTCAGCCCCTTGTGAACCCTGTTAACAAATAACAAAGAAAAACAGATGGAATCTTCTTTTTTCACTCAAAAGCTTCTTCATACATTCATGTAATAGGTGACTATTTATATAGCCAATACATGCTAACCCTAGTAGGAGACAGTAAACCTACGTTCGCTCTTTTCCAGGTGAAACCCAACTCTCTACTACTCCCTAGTACTCGGTCCTACACAACTCATTCAACTCACAATCTACTACCATTTATTTAACTCACTAAAATAAAATAAATACTAAATTACTACTAAAAACAAGATGTCAAGATTAAAATCCAACAGCCTCTATTGTACTTCTTTACTACAGTCTTGGTCTTTGCCTTAAGGAACTCCTCCTCATTTTGAACTTCCACCAATTCATTCCCTACATTTCATTTTCCTTCACTTTTCGAATTTGAATCGATTTCTCTACATATGTTTAGAGTCAACATTTGCAAAATGCTTTTTGAGTTCATTAATAGAAATATTAGAGTTGGAAAAATCAAATACTTGATCCTTTGATGAGTTCTTTATCTATGATTAGCGACCCTAAGGAAGAAGTAGGCTTGTTTATTAGAGTCCTCATCCGATGATGACCAGATGTCCACTTCAGTTGATATTTCTCCACCACATTTGTCCCATCTGCACTTTCTCATTCATCTCAGCTTCTTGATAATTCTAGAAATAATATGATCCATGCTTCACCACTTTTTTTGCATTGCATCATCGAATTCCCTCTAACCAATGGCAATGGTCCACATGTATTGGACTTTGACCAATCAGCTTTTCGTGTTATGCTACTTCTCCATGTATTGATAAATTTAATATTTATCTTTTTTTCACTTCAAGTCTTTGCAACTTGCTAATAAGCCTACTATACAAATCAATGGTTTCAGTTACTGACTCAGTAGCTGATGCTTTGAAATTGTTATATTCGTTTAGGCGTTGTAGTTGTCTATTTTTCTGGAAATGTTCTGATCTTTGATTTTTATTCTTTAACATGTCCCACAGTTATATAGCTAATTCACATATATGTACAATCAATCTTAGAGAGATCTTGTTGTATTGTATTGTATTGCCATCATGTGTCAAAGTCACTAGGGTCAAGTTCTCACCATTCCATGCATCACTTATAATAGATTTTTATGGGTCTTTCATGTTAATAACAAACTACCACACTCTAGAAAACAATAAAGGATTGTTTAAGCATGTTACTTGTTTTTAAAGAGTCTTACTAATAGAGGCCTTCTTAGGATAAGAACAAGCAACATGTTCAGAATCCATAGATTGCTTCAAGAGTTTGGAAGAGATGTTAATCAAGAATCTTAGAGGCCATGGAAACATAATATAAATACTTGCAAGTTTCTATCTGATTTCATAGCTTTATGTATTATATTGACTAGATACTTTGTGACATTTTTATAATTTTCGTACTTTTTCTTTACCCATAGGGTAAGGGGGAATCATCAAGATCTCATCCTTGACATGAAAATGCATGAGAAAGAGAGGCTGTCTAATTCAAAATAGATGCATTTAGTAAAATATGGGTGACCAAATGCTATTGTAACTCAATTGCATGAAATTCCATGAGTTATATCCAAACTTTTTCCAGAATAATTAAAACGGTTTGCTTGTTGTCATCTCTAGTAACCATATATCTTTTCAGTTTTTGTTTTGATAGTTGTATATTTGATTGCCAAAAACAATATGAATGATTTTTGAGTTAATTAATACACATGTAAGGAATATGATGTAAGTCGTAATGTTGTTTTAAATTACTTTATATATTTTGTTGATTTGGTTCATGTGATTGAGAGAAAAGACTTAGTTGTCATGATTCTCACAGTTGAATGTTTTGCTGCTACTTGTTCAGTAAGGTGAAATTTGAAGTTATATAACTGGGAAAGTCAACTCTGTAGCCACAACTTTGTCCATTTGCTTGCTATTCTTTTGGCTATAAAATACCCCAATTTTATAATGTGTCGCTGTGTTGCTGGTTATAACATATGCTTGTTGAAACTATTTGATTATAGAACAGACAAATACAACTTTTTGTTCTCTTGTTTCCTTTTTCAAGTTGATAGTCAATAAGAGATTGTCACTGGAACAGTATCATTTCCTTGTATAATTACTCAAGTTATAAACTTTATGCATGTGACACACAAGCCTTTCTCATTGCACATTTTGTCGTTTCCTTCTATTATTACTCAACTTTAACTTTCTAGTAGACCACTTGGATTTCATATAACACATATCATCCATTAAAAAGTTTGATATTATAATTTTCATATATAAATGGAACTTAGTAAGGGTTAATGTCACTATGACCCAACCAAGTTATTGGTTTTGGTTTAAATGATCCCTAAACTTAATTTTTTGCTTTCTAGGGTCACAAAGTGGGTGTTGACCTGTTTAAATGGTCCTCTTCACCTATAAAAAAAAATGGTTCCTTATGCTACCTCTACATTTGAAGGGCACATCTCACCCACATAGCATTGTAATTTCAGGTTTTCCTAATAACGGGGATTTTTTTTACTAAAAGAAAAATAAAACTAAAATTCAACTCACATACTCATCCATCCTCTTCTTTTGCTTCTTCCACTAAGATTTTTTGTTGCTCCCCATTCACAGACTACAACCTCTTCTTTTGTGGACATGGAGTAAGCAATGGAAGGAATCAAACAAAGAACACTAAGGGTAAATGGAATAGACATGTACATTGCAAAAAAAAGTCAAAGGCCCGACAATCCTCATCTGTAACTCCCGGTTCCTGCCATTGGTAGCAAAGGAAGTTTGGAGGAACAAGGAGTAACTGTTGGATCTAGAAACTTTGCTTCATTTTCAGCATTTTCTGGTAAGAAAGTCTCAACCTTGGCTTTTAGTTGGTTAGATTTCCATATTAGTGTCTTTTGCTTGGTTTTGACCCAATGATGTGGTTCTTAAGAGATGGACGTCCCAAATGGAAAACCCTTTCAGATCTAGGGTCTTAAGGGGCTTTCATTGCATAAAGGTGCCAACTTTGTGGCCTTAGGAGCTCCATGCAACCCCTAAGCTCTTGTTTTTGCTTTCAAGCTCCAAATGGCCATGCATGTGGATAAAGTTAAAAACTTTACGTGATCTTTTAGTCTCTATTGTTGGTGATTTTAGTGTCACCATGTCATTTTATGTAACTAGAATTAGCATGTGAGCTAAAGCGCTTTCATAATTTGTACTCTAATATGTGTATGGGTATGTGTGGAGTGCACACATGTATAAGATCAAATTAGAAGCCGGTTCGACAACTAGTCAGGGGGTCTAGGGGCAGCACCCCTGGGTCCGGGGTTTCCAAAGGGGCAGTGCCCCTTTGGCGGGGTCAAGGGTCAGCGCCCCTAGCGGGATCCAAGGGACAGAGCCCCCAACTAGGGTCACGCTGCTAGGTCAGCGGGTGGGGTCGATGGACAGCGCCCCCGCGGGGTTTGGTAACCCTAAATCCTCATTAAAATCGGGATTACCTTGACTTGCTACCAAAGCAACTAAATATGGCCCAACCCTAATGAAACCCTAATCTCGTTTATTATATAAACGACTCTTCTTTCTTAGAAGGGGGATATCAGATTTAGCTCTCGTTTTCTTCAAACTTTAACAGAATCTTTCTAGCATATTGGCTTACAATTTTTGTGCCTTGAATCGTAAGTGTCGACTTGGATTATCCTAGGCTGACTTTCTTGTAACCCAGACATAGGGTAGAAATATTAGTTCGGAAAGTGTTCTCACGATCCAAGTTGGTATCCAGATCTCTACCATAAACCCTAATTTTTTCCAACATCTCTGGCCCAGATCTATGTTCTTATGATTTATCATGAAGTCTTGGTGGTTTTTGGATTAAGACTTAAGCCTTTTAGGATTAGGTTTTGAGCTTATTTCCTTTATGGAGGGGATTAATGGGTAAAGTTTGAAACTTTACCCTTATTAAGGGATTTCCAGTCTAGACCTAGAATATTGGGTTTGGGTATGAAGAATAATGGCTTAATGCATTAACTTGGTTGAGAGACTAATGAACTCAACGAGTTCATGAGAGAACTCGACGATTTGGTCCGGAATTGTCCCGACTCTATTGGAAAAAGGAGGGACTCGACGAGTTGTAGGGGAAACTTGACGAGTTGGATCACGATATCATGATTCTGTGATTTATGGAAACTCGGAGAGTAGAAGGATAACTCGGCGAGTTGACTTTGACTTTGACATGGGTGTTGACGTTGACTTTGACTATGACTTTGACCAAAGTTGACCCTTAAGGGGTTATGAGTATGAAATGGTACTTAGGGAAATCTTTTATGTTTAGCGAATTAATTGGGTTGATATTCGGGACCGAGGACTATTTAGCTACTTTCCTGTATTCGAGGTGAGTTACCTTCCCTGTATTAGTGGGTCGAAGGCACTAATGTCGGCCCACTAGAAGTTTTTTATATTAGATATGTTTGTCATTGTGATAATTGTCTGGTATGCCACTATCTGTTGAGATTTATGTTTATTCTATGTTCTTATGTGGTAGTGGTAGGGGTGAAATAGACACCGTAACCGGTTGAAATAAAACATAGGGTAGGTCGGGCACCCAGTTATACCTGACAAGGTAGGTCGAGCACCCAGATATGCTCGGCAGGGTAGATCGGGCACCCAGATATGCCTAACAGGGTAGACCGAGCACCCATATATTCCTGGTAGTGTGTTGTTATGTGGTATGATTGGGGAACTCATTAAGCTTCGTGCTTATGGTTCTCAGTTTTGGTTTCACGTACTTCTTCAAAAGTAAAGGAGCTGACATGATCGCTGCGCATCACACTATGATTTTTCGCATTATGAGATCTTTAGGGATTGTCCTATGATTTTCCGCATTCTGATTTGGATGACACTATGATTTTCTGCAATATGATTTGGATGATATTGTTGATGTTTTCAAACTACCATTTTTATAATTTACTTAATCAAAAATGAAATATTTGGCTCATAATTTTGGGATGTTACATCACCCTTCATGGCTTCCTAGAGCTCCGGTACACATGGTGCCACCAAATCCAAGCATCGGTCACCCTAAGCTACCACTACGTCGCTCCTAACTTTCGCAGATATTGCAACACTGATGCTTCATCGTCTCCAACAAGCTATACCATCACCAACAATGTTAAAAATGATGATGTTGATTATGGCTATTATTATGATAAGAAGAAGGATGGTCAAGAAGGTATAGATCTAGTCATCAAAAACATGAACATTTCTTGATCTGTTTCTATAGAACGTTGTTTCAAAAGAACGTGAACCATGATAAATCTATGAAACATAGACCTTATAGGTTTCTCTCACCAATGGTCATCTTTGGAACTCAAGAACCAGATTCACGAATGAAAATGAAAAAATTCAAATATTTGCTTCACCATGAACCCGTTTTCAACTCTTGAAACCAAAATCAGTTTTAAACTAAAAAAACATGACTCCGTTGTTATCCTTGTTGGTGTAAAGCTTTTTGGATGTGTTTTCTTTTAAGAACATAATTCAAATATGGCCCAAAAATAAGCTCCTAATGTCATTTATGGAAGGTAAGTTTGTATCATCGCTTTTCATCTTTGTTTGGGTAGAAAGAATATGACTATGATTTGAGTATGTTCTTCCCAGAAACCCAATAAACCTTGATGACATTAAATTCATCTATAATTCTTCATACCTCTTTGTGGTCATCCATGGATAACGCAAGTGGTTATGTGTGTGTTCGTTTGTAAAACCATAAAAGCTCAAAAACTCAATTTTTTGATGTTCTTTCTGTGTTATAGAAACACAGAAAGAGATAAAAAAAAAATAAGACAGGAGAGAGATCATTACTCATGATTTAGCATGATACAAAACAAAGATTAACTACAGAGCTTGATACGTTAATTATGCAGAAAGTGAACACACACACAGTTTGAATTTTTTTTTTTTATTACTCAAAAAGTAAAATTGCCACATAATCCAGAATTAACCGGTGAAACCAAGGAAAATGAAATTTAATATCCTTTTTGATTGGTCAATTCTAATTTTAAGGACCTATTGTACAAAAAAAATATGTGAGGTACGGACCATTTAAAACAAAACTCGAAAATTAGTTGGACTAGAATGAAATTAACCTACTTAGTAAACATATTTCATTAGCATTTGTAATATAAGACCAAGAACTTAATATTTCATGACATACCGTTCCTATCGCATCATCAACAATAGATTGTCATTAGAACTTTTGAAAAGCACGTAGAACAGGAAGCAAGGTAGAAAAATCTACATTGTAAAGTGGTGACACAAAGCTCACCCAGGGGCAGACGCATGATTTCACAGTAGGGGTTGCACAAGAAATTTAGGGGCTGCAAGATAGTAGAAAAAATAAGAATTTTAAAAAATTTCAAAAATTTTCCATTGCGGTCGGAAAAGTTAGGGGTTGTTGGTGCCATCGGTGACCTCCCCTAAATCCGTTAATGACCTCACCTCAACCCATCTCTAAGTCTCACCTGACTCTTCCCTTTCACAGTGTCGATACACACACACACCCCTTATTTGAGTCTCTATTTTTTCACTGGTTATTTGGAGAATAGCTCATTTATTTATTATCCTTGAGAACCAAAATCGAAAAAGATGTAGATAATCTTCATGAGTTGTCCTTTCTGGAAGTAATGGAGAAAAGACTTGTCCCACTTAAAGGTTAGATATATATTTCTAATCTTATATACAAACTCATTGTGCTTTCCCTTGACACTGTTAATTAATCCATCATGTAACGTTTTACAGATGAAAGCTATGTAACAATTAAGAATCCTATCACCCTAAAAAAAAACTTCTCATAAACACTCGTTTAATATTCATAATGGTGATAAGACAAAGGAAGAGAACCATGTGAGAGACAAAGATGGTGAAGAAGAAGAAGAACAATGGTGAAGATGAGGGGAGAAAGGGTGGGGGAAGTGGGGTTATTTATTTATTTTTTAATTAAAGTTAGTTAAGAAAAGGTGAATGAAATTAAAAAGGGTATAAATTTAATTTTATATGAGTCAAGGATCAAAGATGCAAGAAATTGAAACCACAGGGACCATTCAAGTCAAGAAAAAGGTTAGGGACTAACTCTATGATTTTTTGTAAACCACGGGGACCATTTATCCAATTTTTTTCTTTTTTATTACAACATTGTACTTCATTTTTTTCTACTTAAGGCGTTGTACTTTGAAAGATCTACCTAATAATAGCATTGTACTTTCATTTTTTCTTTTCATATCAGAACATTATACCATAATCTCCGATAACAGCTTCCAAAATTGCTTTGTATAACTTTATTAAAAACAAATACTATAATAAACAAATAAATAAAAGTACGTTGCTATTTCTTGTCTTATGAATTGTTGGGTGATATTAGGTCATTGGATGTTTGGGAAGAATGAGATAGAGGATGGCGACCACATTACTATCACTGTTACACCGCAGTGGCATGAACTTGATTCATATAATGAACTCGTAAAGGAGTGTGGGGTGAGTCTTGTGTATGTTGATGGAGAAGAAGAAGATGTGTTAGCTTATTACAAGTCATGGAATCACATAATTGGTGGAGACCTCTCTCCTTTTCAAACAACAACAGGACAATACATCCTAACCAACTTCCCGTTTTTGATGATGTTGTTATAGTGTCTTCATATCTTCATACATTCGTTCCAGGCGGCCCTTACCTTCAAGGTAGATGTCATTTATTAAAATATTTTATTGTCATGTCTTATGTGTAATGATTCGTCCCATGACCCAACTTCTTTAGAAAGACGGATAATGACCCATTTATATTTAGTAGTTAAATAAAGGTTTCATATAACCCAAACCACCCACCCACCCATTTATTATTGGTTATATTGACCTCCACTATAAGAGTTTGTTCTTGCAAAATATGACAAATAAAATTTCTACGACATATTTTTTCTTCCTGACATTAGAGTGTTTGCCTATCTTCGTAAATTCGTTACACACGACCCTGACTGTTAAGGTAGATGTGATTAATTTTTGATAATTATTCTTTAAATAGATGGATAACGACCCATTTTTTTAGGAGATAAATAAGTGTTTGATGCTCAAATCCACCCATTTATCGTTGATGTTATCGACCTCCACTATAAGAGTGTTTTCATAATAAAATTTCTACTTCTGCCTTTTAAATGAATCGACTCAAGTAGTGATCTGTCTGAATGGGTCTATGTTAACCAATTAAATCTTGATATGTTGGATCACATAATATATCAGGACCCAATACAAACTACTTTGTCCAACTTGATGGTTGCGAATAATAATTAGCACATAACTTTTTATCTGTGTTCATAACAAAAGGAAAAGTATTGGTTCAGAGCTTTATCCCCAGGGAAGGCTGACATACCTGCTTGTGCATGTGAGGTATACTTTTTGACACCCAAACCTTTCTCTCGTCACATGAATAAAGGGCATACAGATCCAAGTATGTTATATATCATATCTTTTTTTGGTTTAGGATATAAAAAGATAAAAGGAGTCATAATCTTGCAACGGATGCTTGGAAATAGAAATATCAAAATGTGGTTGGGCTGATATGATGGAAAATTTTCTAATTTTCTCTACCTACTTAATCTTAGAGTCAGGAATTATGGATCCCTATTTCCTCCATTTAGGGCCCTAAATAAATGGTTTTTAGTTGTTATCAAGGTCTTTTGGTTTTATTTATTTATGTTTGTTTTTATCTAAAATACATGATATCCTAAGCAATTTTGTCAATTATTTTTAGTTGATTTTGAATTAAAAAAATTTGGGCGTACCTACCAAAATAGAACCGTCCTTATAAGGACATCTAGTTGTAACTTTCAAATTAAAAAAGTTCTTCAATCAACAAAGATAAGTTTCAAAATATTTACGATTAAAATGTTTGAGACTATCGAGTCGATTTATCTTTTCTTGTTGTTGAGAATTTAATCACACAATTCAGTTCTCCCTTCCCTCAAAATTTCATATAATGCCACTGTTGTACTTCTTACTATAGTCTTGTGTGGTGTTTGTTTTTTATGAGGGTAAAATGTCTTAGGTCTTTTTCCATGTTTGCTGAATAAGATGTGAACAAGTAGTATTTTTCCATGTCTTAGGTCTTTTTCCATGTTTGCTGAATAAGATGTGAACAAGTAGTATTTTTCCATGTCTTTAGTCTTTGTAAAAAAGATTGTTTTTTAAAGTGTTCATAAAAAAGTCCGGTGATGTTTATGTTGGTGATGTTCATAATCAAACTTGTTGCACTTCTGATTCTCTTCTTCTTTTACGATTTTGAATATATTCATTTAGACAAATTACTAACCGATGAATGAAGTGCCTAGAATCGATTAGAAGAACCCTCATGTGGTACCTAGCATCCAACTTTTTGGCTTCCTTTCTTGACCTTTGTAAGTTGAATATATGAATTTTATTTCAACATATAAATCCAAAGTATATTTGCTCTTATCATCCACAATGGTGGCAAAATATTGATGACCAGTATTAGTGAAAGATTGATAAGGACCCCATATATCAAATTGTACTAATGAAAAAGTTTCATTGCACATATTGTTGAAAGACTCAAATGGAAATTATTTTTGTTTGGCCAAAGGGCAAACATTACAATGTTGAGAATAACTATTTTGACCAATAGAATTTCCTAGAATGTTCTTAATAGAAGTAGGAACTTTATTTGAAGGGTGTCCTAATCTTTTATGCCACAAATCAACTGAAACCGCAGTAACTCTTGTATTATGCACTTCTTTCGTAACTGGATTGCTCATCACATATAGATCTCGCACATTATCAGCTTGCCAATCATCTTCTTGTTGTGGATATCCTGGATATAAGCATGATGACATGTAAATTGAACAATGAGGTGTTGTGTTTTGGTGAGAGTTAGAGCACTAACTAATATGAGATTGAGATAAAAATTACGGACATAAAGAACATTTTGTAATGTGAACAAATAATCAATCTCAATATCTCCAATCATATGAACTGGTAAAATGACCTTGTTTAGAAGAGTGATTGTATGATGATAAACTTTTCTTTTGTTGATGAACATGTTAATGTCAAGGCATACATGCATGCTGAGAAGCACCACAATCTAAAATCCACATGTATGATTTTAAACCATTATTAATGGTTAAAGAATAGCATTTACCTATTGTAGAATTCTCAGTAGATCATATGATTAGATAATGCAAACATCACTTATTGACACTGAGATGGAGAGAAACAACGAAACATGTTTCTCAATTCATCATTAACAAAGGATGATGAATTATGATCCGAATTGATTTGTTCATTGAACATATTAACATTGATGTGATTAGGTTGTGGTTTGGGTTAATAACTCCGTTTGGATCATGATTTTGACTAAGATTCACAATCTCTAAGCGTTTGGATCATGAGCATGAGCTTGGTGAAATAAACTCCGTTTGGATCACGAGTTTGTTGATATCGAAGTTTAAGATCTTCACAAATTTCCTTTGCAGATTCAAAGAACATGATACTCGTGGAGATTTCCTTTGAAATTGAATTGAGAATCCATGAGATTACGAGTTTATTATTTCGCATCCATGGATTACGATCAACAGTATCAGTAGAATCATGCCCATGAATATATCTATCTATGAATCCGATTTTGTTTTTAACAGAAAGAGCAATTAACATTGATCGACTCCATAACGATAATTCTCACCATTCAATAGTTGAGAAATAACACTGAAACCAGGATTATCAAAATGATGGATGAAATAATGAGAAGAACGTTCATCAAGAGGAGAAACAACATTTTGATTTGCAATGATTAACGAAATCAAAGAAACAGAGTATGAATTCATTGATGAATTTGACAAATATTTGGAAAGAAATCATAGAAGCAAAAATCAACGCTCTGATACCATATTAAGAACAAGAAAGATATGAAATGAATTCGTCAAATTGATTAAACTGAGTCAACTACATTTTATATCTCCCATCTAGATAAGGAGCGAATAACAGAAATAACGAACTACCAAATATTTACAATACGGACCTTCCACCTTAGATAACTACAAATAAATCCCTAATATCTAACTTTAATTAATTTATAATGACAGATTTACCCCTTAATATTCTATTTTCCTTTTTTTCTATTACAATAATTAAAAACAATTAAAAATAAATCTCTCTCTCTCTCTGTCTCTCTCTCTCTCTCGCGTTTTTGAGTGTGTGTTTACTATGTTATAACAAATATTCTGCCCCATTCTTCATGAGAGTGAGAGAGAGGTGATTTTTTTTTTCTTTTTTTCTTTCTATAATAAAAAAATTTGAAAAGGGGAAAATAGCATGGGCAAATGTGTCTTTATAAAAAGTTCTAAATTTTTTTGACTAAACTAGCACGAGTTAAAAGTTTGTTGGACCAAACTTGCGAGTTATGACATAACATAGGGACCATTCTTGCAATTTTGTCTACTTTTAATGAAGAAAAGATCTATCCCACTTAAAGGTTATATATATATATATATATATATATATATATATATATACATATATATATACATATATATATATATATATATATATATATATATATATATATATATATATATATATATGGGCTAGGTTATTTTGTTTTTTACATTTATTGTGTGCTAGAATGCACCAATAGGAATTTAGTAAAATTAAATAATTATTTAATTAAATAAATATAGATATTAAATGATTTCCATAATTATATGTATATTAAATGATATCCATATTTATAATTCTCTTTTTATGGAAACTAATTAAATCCTTCATTAATGTCAACAATAACATTCTTTCAGAATAAATTCGCATCTAGATTTATATATATGAATTCGTCTTTTGTTTCAGGACTCACTCACTTAAGATACAATAAAGTTGCATGAAATATGAAGAACAAGAGTGTATTCTACTAGAATACACTCTCATTCTGCTGAAATACACTCTCAATCTTCCAGATATGAATTCATTCTCAAAGAATATTATTGTTGACATTAATGACGAATTTAATTAGTTTCCATAAAAATGAGTTATAAGTATGGATAGCATTTAGTATACATATAATTAATACTAAATTCCTATTGGTGCATTCTAGCACACAATAGATGTGAGAAACATTTGAACCTACCTCATATATATATATATATATATATATATATATATATATATATATATATATTTCTAGTATAATAAATCATTATGATTTCCCTTAACATTTTTAATTAATCCATCTTGTAATGTTCTACATATGAAAGTTACGTAACAAGAAGCCTATTGCCCCAAAAAAAATCTTCTCATAACGGTTCCCTAATAATTTGTAATGGTGTAAAAACAGAGGAGGAAAACCACTAAGATAGAGAAAGATGGTGGAGGAAGAACAATGATTAAGAAGGGAGGGTGGGGTGGAGGTTGGGAGGTTTTATTTGTTATTTTTTCTACCTTAAATTAAAGTTAGTTAAAAAAAGGTGGATGAAATTAAAAAGGGTATAAATGTAACTTTATATTAGTCAAGGATCAATGATGCACGAAAATGATACAACAGATGCCATTCGCATGAAGAAAAAAGTGATGGAATAAATCTATGATTTTTGTAAACCATAGGGACCATTTAATTAACTTTGTCCTCATTTTAGTACATCAGT